TACTAATCTAATAGTTTAACTATAATATTCGAATATACAAAATATAAACATTAATATAAGCCTATCATTATTAGAATAGAATGTCAAATAGTATACACAAAGTTCTTTAAGTTAAAAGTTTATGAAGCTTATATATAAAGTCTCAAATCTTCTTTTTTAGTTGACCATTTTCAGCACTTAAAACTTATATATAGTTAATATAACTAGTACTAGCAGTATATAGTAAAATATTCGCTTCTAAGTGAAGTTCTTGGAGGTATGGATTATTTTAGATTAATTTTAATATAAGATAGGGTGTTCTATAACCTTTTGATAACTTTCTTTTTTGTGCTAGTTTGATTGGTAAAATTCAGAGTAATCATGAGAATACTTCATAATCTAAAGGTGTATAAAAAATTTTTTTAAATAGAGCTAAGCCACCGATCATCATTTCTAAATTTAGATTGTCTGCTATGCTGTAGCAAAGCTTGCTTGTTCCAGCAAGGTTAGTCTTCTGTTGATATTTTGTTGTAGCTGCTCATTTTACTATCTTTGTTGTTCAAATTGTTAGTTGATTGCTTATTTAATTGTTGTTGTGAACACTGTAGTTGATACTTGCAAGAATTAGTTTATGCATTCCTTTAACTGTATACTTGTTGATAATAGTAAAGTTGTTGTTTTCTGCCTTTCTAAGTTTTCTGATTCCAGTCTTTCAGCCCTTGTGTTAGATGACCCTCCTGTATTATTATCTTCTAGTTCTGTATTGGACATTATTGTTTTTATTATTATAATTTGTAATGCAGAATTTTTTTAAGCTGTTTGGTAAATGGATAGCGCTTGCTAATCTCTGCTTAATTTATATGCCTCACTGCTTTGATGTTTGAACTAGTAATTATTACTTTACAATTCACATTTGTGGCATGCTTAAATTACTTTGTTTATAGGGAAATACCTGCATATTTTGCATATGCTTGCTTATGCCTTATTTACTATTGCAGGCGTTTGCTCATTGTTATTATTATTATTATTATATATATATATATATATATATATATTTTTTGGTGATGTATGCTCACTCCTGTGCTTAGTCAAACTTTTCGATCTATTGACCTCCAGTCAATTTGCAGTAATTTATACTGTATTTGGTTACCAATTTTGGGAGTAGATGTCAAACATAGTTTTCGACATATAATAGAATCTTAGCAGATAACAGTAGAGTTTTAATCTATAATCCATTTATCCACTTATCTATCGGATATCCAAATCCGAATTTATCTGGATATCCATTTACTATTAATATTCGGATAATTATCCAGATATCTGTTGGATTATTCAGATATCAATAGTAAATAGATATCCAGATAAATTTGAATATGGATGAATGGATGACAGATTTATCCGAATTGGAACTCTAGATAACAAACAAAATTTGTCTGAAAATTTGATTAGCATGTTAAATTTTTTAAATTTTAATAAATAAACAAAAACTTTTATTTAGTTTAAAGAAAATTGCATAATTTACTATTATTTCGCATAATTTTGGGAGTGTTTGGCATCGGGCGCATAATTTGGACCAATCGCATCGCATAATTTGCTATTTATTTCGCATCGCATCGAGGTCCCTATTTGAAAGTGATCGAGATGTTGCTCAATCATTTCAATTAATTGACCGATTAATTGAAATGTTTCTTAACGATATGCTATAAACGAAATGCGGATTTTAAATTTTAGACAATCAGCGTAGCTCTATGAAAAAAATTGGTGGTCGAAGTTTTCTTACAGTAATGTCAATTTTTTTAATCAATCAGATAATTCGGTAAACTCGTCAAGAGGAGGCGTTTGAGAAAGACCTTAATCTATCGATGTAATGATAGTTATTTTATTTTATTTTTTGCCTCCGATAAAGATTAACTTTATCCCGAATGCAGCAATCGGTTAATTGATGACGTAAAGAATGCAAGAAAGATTGTAGCTCCATCTAGTGTAAAAACAAATATCCGAATAATTATCATTATCCTGTGAATAAAAATGTTATCCGCTATCTAGGATAGATTCAACAGATCCGAACACTATGGGTAAGCACATTGAACCTAGCTGCCGCACAAAAATGCGCGGATGATCCTCGATTTTGATTGGCTAAGAGCGACGATCAAAAATTTTGGCCGGAATTACTCAAAATTTTACTAATGAAATCGCTGCTGCGTATTAAGTGAAAATTGTTCCTGGGCCGATTTTAACATAGCGCGGGCCTATTTCTTTGAAATTTTATATTTTTAGAATGAAAAAGTTAAAAAGTTAATTCGGCCAGAATTGAGTAAACAATTATGTAATGCGGACCAAAATTTTGCAGATCTTCGGCTGTTAGCCAATCAAAATCGAGGATCATCCGCGCATTTTTTGTGCGGCAGCTAGGTTCAATGGTAAGCACTGTCGGTAGATTTTGTGTTACTGAAAGTGAAAGTGAATCACGAGATCGCGAGACTGCATATATATTCTAAACTTCCTTAGTTTTAAAACTCACCTTTGCTTTGTTAGAGTTCACGTGTTATAAATGAATAACGAAACTGTTAAAGTGTAGGCTTTGATCGCGTCTTGTCTCCAGGTGTTAAAGTTAATTGAACAATGACTAACGTTTATTCCCTTATAAAGGCTCGTCACTGGCTCAGCTAACGGAAAACTAACTGAGCTCTTTTCTGGAGTTGCAAAGTTCAATGAAAAATGGGGTCCTTTTGATTTGCTGTTATGCGTCGGCGATCTATTTGGCGAAAATACAGGCGAAATAAACTGTCTCTTATCAGATGAAATAAAAAGTATGCATACGTGCTTATGACTTGTCTATATTCTGTATTGAAAAACTCATAAGCAAAAAATTTTTTCATAGTTCCAATAACAACATGTTTTATGCATGGCAAATATGAGTTACCAGATATCGTAAAAGAACGTGTAGAAAATAATAATGGAGAGTTTTGTCAGAATCTTCTCTACCTTGGTAAGAAAATTGCTCGGATTTTTGTGATCATTATTGTCAACGTCTCTCGACTCAAGTAAATTCACTAAATTAACTTTATAGGCAATCAAGGTAGCATAACCACAACACATGGTATAAAAATCGCATTTGTTAGCGGTATCCTAAATTCTTCAATAGACAAAATTCCTACACAAGTTGATATACTTCTTACATATGAATGGCCGAAAGACATCACTCGTTTATCTTCGCAGGAGATTCGTGATGTATCAGGATCAAACGAAGTGGCACAGTTGGCTGCAAAATTCAAACCGAGATATCATTTTGCCACATCGGAAAACGTTTTCTTTAAGAGGGAGCCTTATCAGAATACACCGTCAAATTTTACCGCAGAGGATGATGATACAAAACTAAACATAGGGATTCCTACTTGGTTTGTAGGATTGGCAGAAGTTGGTAACCCAAACAAGGAGAAGGTATGATTAGTTATTGACTTTATAAATATTAATATTATTGAATTATTCTAATTATAATTACTATTTGATCATGATTAGTGGTATTATGGATTCAATCTCGTACCATTAATGCGTATGCCACAATCCGCACCTCTGAGTTATCCAAAAGATATGACTGAGTGTCCTTTTAATATACAAGGCCAAAAAAGAAAATTAGACGATACGCAGAAGGTAAGATTATTTTCACTCGTGGAATGCAGTATGATTATGATTATTGTTTAAAAACACTATCATTAATTAAATAGGATAATTATTTCTGGTCTACTGGCGATTCATCTGAATCAACGGCCAAACGCGGTCGCCTAGATGGTAGTATGTAATAATGCTAGACATTTTCCTGTTGAATAATAATCTTGAATCTATAATATTTACTCATTAGTCATATTATTTTTCGTCTTAATGAATATAGGTACGCCACCAGATAATTATATATGCAATAAATGTAATCTTCCTGGTCATTGGATTCGTAATTGCCCTCAAGGCAATAATAATAATCAAAAGCGTCGACAAAATATGAAGCCACAAATTGCTAAGGAATATGTTTGTAAATCGTGTCAAGAAGTAGGGACACATCTTATTTTTGATTGTCCTAATTACGAATGTAGACGATGTGGCGGAAAGGGTCATCCTCCTAAAGATTGTCCGTCTTCCTCACCATCCACATCACCTAAGAGGAAAAATAAGACACCAGGTTAGTACAATTTTTGAGCATTATCACAACAATTGATACTTACTTACATTTATTTTATCCTTAATTGCAGCACAGCCATGTTGGTTTTGTTTGTCTAATCCGAAAACAGTCAAACAGTAAGTTATAAGCAATAATTAAAATGTGACTCTTTAAAAACGCATTGCAATTAATGATCGGTGATAATCTTTTATAGCTTAATCGTATCTATTGGTAATGAATTATATTTATCGGTAAAAATATATAAGATTCAAATTTTGTTTATTCTACAGATGAAAAATGTGATTCACAATAATCTCAATATAATATTTTAGTTGGCCAAAGGAAGTTTGATTGACACTCAAGATCCTTCCAAGTCGATTATACCGGGCGGTGGCCATATTCTATTGGTAAAGTAATATTATTAAAAAATAACAACGCCGATTTATGTTAACGTCGTCCTTTTATTCAAAAATTTTAATAGATTGCAATCATGCATTATCCTACATTCCGAGAAGCCCCACTTGATGATCAAATTAACATGAAGGCTGAAATGGAAAAATATAAAAGCTCGTTAAAAAGATTTTTTCAAGATTATGGGGCAGGAATGGTAACATTTGAAGTATCATTTTTCCGTCGAACACAACATCATTATCATATACAAATCGTACCAATTCCATTCGAACATGATTCTGAGAAGATTCGAGATACATTTCTAAAAGAAGCTGAAACTGATGAATTAAAATTTCATAAAATTCAAGGATCATCAATTATTTTGCCTGTAAACTATTTTAAAGTAGATTTACCTGACGGAACTAGTTTAATCCACGAGGTTGCTATGAACGAGCATTTTGATGTTCAATATGGAAGGTAAGAATTCGAGTGTATTTAATAGCTGTAGATATTTATTAGAGATTTATTGTAATAATTCATTGCTCATATAAAAATTTCTTAAAAATTTTAGAAAAGTTCTTAGCAAATTATTAGGATCACCGCAACGCGTTAATTGGAGGGATTGTGTAATATCTGATGAACTTGAAAGAGCAGATGCCGAAAAATTCAAAAAAGCATTTTCGAAGTATGATCCTATGGCAGATGTAAAAGTTTTATAAAAACGTAATAGGAAATTGAAAGAGAATAATAATACAATAATATCAAAGGATTCGTCTATCTTTTAAACATAATAGGGGTTTCGGTATCCTTACTTGTAATAAAATGCACTGTGGCAAAAGAATTTTATAAAAAGTGATAGATTTTCAACTGATTATTTATTTATATTCTATTGAAGAACTTTCAGACCGATAATTTGTCAACTTTTTTTATTTTTTTATGGCAATACCTAGGATTGCATATTAACTTTTAGATTGATTATTAAAATTTTATTGAGCACAAATGCAATATTATATTTGATTTATCAATATTTATTTGCATTTACAAATTTTGCCCGCTTTATTACTTCGTCGGGAAATTTTAATATTAAGCCTTATTATCAACCTATTACAGTATTACTGTTACCAATTCAATTTCTATAACGTTCTATTGTAGATACAATACGTATGATTTATGAAAACGAATTTAAAATTTTAATAAAACTTTTCATGTGAGCTTTTGCATGCATAATCACTAGAACACCTATTTTCAGAGTCGGATTATCGTTATGCATCGGTCGATGTATTCCTGTATCAAGTATAGAGAATTACTATTGCCTGAACATTCAAAAAATAGTTATTCGGCTGAAACTAACACCATTATCGGCCAGATTTAACGAACGCAATTACACAGTTAATTTTTCTTGCCCTTAACTTTCAGACTGGTTACGTTACTTTAGAGTCCGAAAATGGACGAAATACTTTGTTTGGATATATGAAAAAGGAACCTATTGTTGGATTATATTATTGTTTCTATGATATCTACGTAACATTAATTTATGATTATCACTGTTTGAAAGCCTGCTTTAATATTTTATATTTTAAACATGAGCGATGGTCGGCATTCTACTTCTGAGTCGCTTCAGCCTTCAGGTGATTTGCTTTAACTTGTGAAATTATCGCAAAATTCTAATTACGTTATCAATTAACAACTTTCCGCGTTGAAATGTATAGTAGACACTACAGCCGAGGAATTATCTGAAAACTATCAAAAACTATTTTCGGAATTCTCTCGGTAAAAATTTATTTTTCATACTATTTATTTTTCAATATTTATTTATTCCTTTTTATATTATTAGGATAAAAGCCCAGCACTCTGTCTTGAAGCAAGCAATCCTCAAGGTTTAATCGCAGCTCAAGTTATAATTTTTTTTTGATTAATTTATTAAAATCAAGGAAATTTGTTTGCAACAGAAAAATCAAATAAATGTATCATTAAGAGATGAATGTAAAGCCAGAGAACAGGAATTGCGTACAGTATGTTTAAATAATTATTAATTTATTATATTATTTTTTTAGAATTTTATTGTATTCATATTCATTATTTATGCAGTCACTCCAACAACTCGATCTTTTAACCTTTCACAACCAACGTTTAACCAAACGTATTGAAAACCTACAAGAATCGAGTGCTGCGGTACACATTAAATTTTAAAGGTTTAATACTAATAATTCAATAATTGAAGTATTAAAATTTGTCACACTAGAAATCGTCTCCGGGTTGGTTAGTTGGTTCAGCTAAAAAAGAGCTAGAGAAAACAAAAATTCTTTTGGAAGCTGCGAATGTAGATTTGACAAAGGAAATTGAAAATAATGGTATATATTAAATTTTGACCCTATGAATATATTTGTTAAACTCTGGCTCGTTAGTTGTGTCGCAAATTATCTCGATTATCCATATTGTGCTCTAAAAAGTGTTATTTGGTGGTTTTCAGAAATATTACACGAGGAACTTTATGAGGCCAAGAGTTTATACACACAACGTTCGAATGCTCTTGAATCCAAGATTTCAGGATTAAAAAAAAAGGTTGAAGAGCTCAAGGTACTCTTATAAGACATTAGATTTGTATTGTATTCGATCAGGTACGCATTAATTTACATTAACACGACTTATATAGATTGAATTAACAAGATCACAACTTGCTAGTGAAGATGCTTTGAATACATTACATTATGAAAAGCGCGAGCTTGATAATGAACTCAAACAGGCAAGATCAGAGTTAAGCATGTAGGTTTTTTCCGAGATTTTTTCATATTGAATTATTACTTTATTTTGTTCTTTATTATAATCTTTATCTTATTGTAGAAAGAAGGCACTTCTGGAGAAGAATGATCATAAATTGAAAGGAGAAGATGATACTTTTCGAGCTGAAATGATTGTACTTAGAGATACATTGTCCATAAATCTTGAGAATTCATTTGAACCACAGATAGATAAATTTAACGTTTGTAGCCTATTACTGTACTTAAATTTAATATAAGAATTTTTTTAAGTTGAATTTTTGTTTCCTTTTATACAGGAATTGAATGATAAAATTGATAACAAATCTAATGAAATTATCGCAAGCTTTAGACAGTTGCAATTAAATGCAAGAAATTACCTGAAATCTCTTGAAGGAAAGGTTAGAATAGATTAACCCTCTTTTCTTAAATCTGTACATCTTTTAACTAAATCGTAATTAATTAATTTTATTTAGTCGGAATTATCCTGCGAGTTAGGTTTGAAGGTCAAAAATGCTAGTAAAGCATGGCAACAAAATTTACAAACATTGATAGTTAAATTAGCATCCATTCAAGGTATGCACAAATATTATTTCTTGTTTTTTAAGTGGGTTATTAAAGACTTTCATTAACTATTTTATCAATAGGCTGTATATCGGAATTAACAGCAGAAAAAGAGAAACTTGTTAAAGCGAATGAATATAGCTCAAATAGGGTCGTAGCTCTGGAAACTGAAATCACTCGATTAAAAGAAGAATTGAATAGACAAAAAGTGAATATATTTAATAATTTTATCCAATCGGCCGTATACATTCTAAAATTTTTGCGTATTTCTAGGAACTTGCTAAATCTGGAAACGATTATGTTGAAAATTGTGCTGGTAAAAATGAAATATTATTAAATAAGGAAAATCACTGAAAATTGAAAAAAAATTATCATATTTAATCATTATTTAATTAGCATCTCAACAAGTAAACGTTGAAGAAGAGGATGATGACGATGAAGAGGTCTGTCTTTTAAAAGTAATTAAACTTGACTTTTACACAATTCAGAATTGTCCTAAAAGAATAACTTTGATATTAGCAGTTTATATATCCAGTTGATACTGGAAAACAAGAAAATCTTGAATCTTCAAATAAATCAATTGAAAATGCATCACACCTCATAGGCCTAACTATTATGACCGCAGAAACAACAAAATCCGTAACTGATGCTGACATTAATACAAGCCGTGAAGGTAACTTGGGTATAGGGGTGAGTAATTAATATTTCCTTCTAATGGTCAACATTTTATTTATTTTTGTAATAAATGATTTTTTATTTAGCGTTCTTCTAAGAATGAAGATGATGCCTTACGAGAAACACTTGTCAAAAAACATTATGAATCTAAAATAAGTCAATTAACTGAACATGTTAATATTTTATTTTTAAATTTTGTTTTCACATGCCATATAATGAGTGACTTAATTGTTGACTATTTATGTTTATAGTTACAAATAGCGGATAAAAAATCAGTACAATTGCATACAACTCTGAAAGTTCTTCAAGAAAAATTGGTTGATTCTGAAAATTTGAAGTTGCGTTCAGAACAAGAAAATCTGAAATTTCAAGATGAAATTTCCAAAATGAAGGTAATTCATTGAAAAGATATTACTCTTCTTTCGATACATTTCTGACGACATTCATTTTGTATCCTAATAGGAAGAATTGGCTGAAGTGCGTGTAAATAATGATAAACAGGTTAAGGAAATGACGGGATGGATTGAACAAGGGAAAAATACGCTTAAAGAGTTGGACGACAAATTAGCAGAATATGAAGCTGGAACTTCACGAAATGAATAAACAATTTTCTTTGTAAATTATTTACATTATTTATATTTCATTTTTTTTTTTTTTTTTGATTTGTAACATTATATTTATAAAAAAACGAATGGGCTGTAAACAAATAGATATGTTAAAATTTTATTATAAAATTTTCTTTTCTAAATTATTTAGATTACTGCATTTTATACTGATTTTGGGTTAAAATAGAATTTAGAACAGCAGCCAGAGCGGGTGACGTAGAGATGCAAAACGGCTCAGCTAGGCTCGGCTCGGCTTTGTGTGACGTGGAGCCGATTTAAAGCCGTAAGCCGATCAAAATGCTAATCAATAAAATATGTAATGTCGTAGACTCTTATACTACCCAATTATACTCACGTCAAAACAATTAAATATGTAGTAAGTTAGCCATGGCTTAGCCGTAGTTTTGGCTAGCTAAAATTAGCTCGGCTCTAAACAGCTTGGTCTGTGTAACATAAGAGCCATTAGCCGAGCCGTTTTGCATACTTCCAGTTTGGCATGCCATTTAACTAAAAAAATTGCTTCGGATTTTGATTGGGTTTCAGTATACTTGCCGCTCAAACTCGTGGGATTTGAGATTTGACTATGGAAGAACGTAAACAAATAGGATTGTCTAGTAATCGAAAATCATATAAGCTATAACAAATTTCAAATTCTCAAATCACAATTTCAAAATAATTATAACAACTTTTTTTTAATTAATATAATTGACTATCTAAACTAAATTAGTATTGTAATTGTTAAAGTTTATGAAGCATTATGAGTAGGGTTGGAGGTACAGAGCTAGAAGACATGGTTTAGAAAGTATATTTAGAAGTATGTTTTTTGATCAAAAGATATACTTCTAATTGATTTGATCATATGATCAAAAATATAAATT